TCCTAGCCATCCCACAGGACAAGGCCAGGACATTCCACAAAGCGTTTGGTTCCCCTCACACTCAGGCCTGGAGTCTCGGCTATCAAAGGCTGCTGCACTCCGGGTGAAAAAGCAGCAGGAGATGTCCCTCTGCCCAGGAGGGATTTTAAGCTGGCAGTTACTGAACTCTAAAGTGCAGGTGCTTTTTGAGAGGGGAATACTCCAACTATTTAGCCGGGGTGGTGGGTTCAAAGCGATGGGAACAAAGCAATGGCTCCAAGCTGCCCCAGCCTCCCAGCCTGCCGCAGCATTACTGAGGAGAGAGGGATGGATTATACCCCTTAGAACAGGATTTCAGAGCATCTTGCAGGACCTGTGAACTATCAGGACAGCAGTTCATCCCTTCCAAAGGAGGGCAGCACAGCGGGGAGGTGGCAAAGAGGCTATGGTTCAGTCCTCGGGCACAGGCACCCACAAAGCCTGCGGGAGGCTGGAGCAGCCCTTTTTCCCAGCAGTGATTTCAGCGTGAATCCTTACCAGCTCCTACAGGACAGAGCCACAAGAGAAGCTTCCCAGAAAGACACAAAAATCCAAGAGGCATCACTAACTGCTATGAAAACTGCCCAACTTCCCAAGGGGTTGGTTTTCCTTGGCAACCTGACTTCAAATCCAGTAAGGGAGGATCAGTGCAAGACCTGGCCTGCTCATTACATCAACTCCAAGGAACAAGCCAGACTCTTGACTGGGCTTGATAGAAAACCAGCACAAACGAGAGGAGAATTGAACTTTCAAACCACTCCTCCACCTAAAAATAGTTAAAGGTAAAAAAAATTGCTATTTTTGGTTTACAGGTCAGCACAGACAGTCCTGCACCTCTACTCCATAGAAGCATTCACCCACCCCAGGATGCCAACAGTCACACCGGGAGCTCGCGGCCACTCTGGGCCAGAATATTGTCCCAGTTATCCTTGGAAAGATGGCCCAACCAGACTACTTTGGGCCCCTTGCAAGTGCTATCCAGCAACTTGTGTCTAAAATTTCTGTTGCTCTGTGGTTTGCAGGGTTGGACAGCTGCCACTGCATGACTGCACCGCCGAGTCATCCAGCTGGAGCATTTGCTGAGGAGAAGCTCATCCAGGCTCGGATGCTGCAGGGACTATGTCACTCTTGGACACTCACAAACCCACTCCCAATAAAGGCATCCTCCACGCTCTTCCTGGGGTGATTCTGGGCATCATCAGCCACTAGGCAAGGAAAGGTTTGTGGGTGGGAGCATGTGGATCCTCATGTCTCCTGGCAGCATCACCTGGTTGGGATACAGGTCACACTGCTGCACCCCAGCACAGCATGAAGGCAGGGACCCATATACAAAGAAAAGTCTTCTCCCTCTCTTGATCCATCTCAACCAGGAAGGTTCATACCCTCCCATTAGCTGACAGCCCTCCATGAAGGAGTTTCACCAACAATCAATGAGGGTCAGGCACATAGCTGCTTTTTGGGTTTAATTTCTCTGTCTGTATTCCTTGCATCCATGATTCAGATATAAAAGCCATGGAGATGAGATCCTGGTGCATTTTCTATTTGAGACCAAGCAAGAAAGAAAAGGAAAAGGAGGTCAGTGCACAAGAAGTTCTTTTCCTCCAAGCCTGGGTCAGTGGGTAACACTCAGTCCCTGGTGAGAGAAGAATCATGGAGGCAAACAGCACTCAGGTTTCCCCTGAAAACTAGGGTCAGATGCTGTGAAAGACACTGGGCTAAAGTGCACAATGCCCTTTAGCTGGGCAGTGGGATGCAGCTGATCACTCACCTTTGGTGAGGATATACTCTTGGGCTCTCCAGGACATTTCACATGCCTCTCACACATGGGCCCATTAGTCAGATCCTTCTCTTCTTCCAGTTTTATTCCTATCCTTTACTCACACATCCATCCAGATCCTCCCATCACCCAGCAAACACCCACCCAGCAATAGCTTGTTTCAGTCACACAATGGTCCCCACTGCTGGGCCAGCACTGCTCTTGCTGAGTGAGGGGGAAAACAAAGAACCTTCTTCCCCCTCAGGCAAGTCCATCCAGGGGAGGAACAGCACCAACGTCTCCCCATCTGCACCCTTCCTCCCCCAGTCCTTTCTTTCCAACTCCTTCACTTAACTCAGGTCAGAGCTGCAGTGCTCTGCATGCTCCTCCATTGCCCAGGGCTGAACATATTGAAAAATTACTATATTTTACAACATATGCAAATAATAAAGGATAAATAATCCCTGATCTGCTCAGCCATTCTGCTAGAGCCAAATGGGGACAGAACTTACCTTCAAAAGTCCTGAGACACAGCATCTCAAGCACAAGATTTTTAAGAGTCCTGAAGAGACAGAGATGAAATTCAGCAGATTTATGGTTTTTGGGACATTGAATCTAAATTTGGAAGCAGGCAGTTGCCTTCCTGTTAGCCCTTAGCTATCCTCTTTCCCAGAAGTAGCTGCCTGTGTTTCCAAGACATTTGGCAACTTTTCTACCTCTCACGTCATAACAACTTCCATTGGTTTTTGTAAAAGGGCTTTAAATAAAAGGAAAACACCATAGAAAGGTAGAGCATCCCCTTTGATATGGGTTTCAGAGGACATGATCGTTTACTCACCTCACAGACTGAGAAGAACAGAGGTTTTAGTTCTAAGTGCACTTCCAGCAAAAAAAAATGCACTTTCAATGAAAAAGTTTCAAACAATTTTTTTTTTTTCATTATGACTGATGACAAATTCCATATGCATTCAACTGGTGCCAAGTTAGGTCTTCTAAGCCTCTGACAGAGCCTTATTTAATATGATCATTAGTTACAAAATTAGTTCTTTGGGAATACCATCTCCTTGGAGAATCAGACAAGTTGAGAAAATTTCCCTCTGAGGAATCACGGGTTTAATAATCAGATTCAATTCTCTTCTAAATTTCTGGTGTGTGTCTCTAATATATTGAGTAGAGAGCTGAAGACATTTAGTAGACTATATCATCAACTTGAAATTCATGTTTTGTCTGGGAATGTGAAGGCTGAGCTGCTAGAAGTAGAAGCATATTCATTTCCAACTTGCCCTGAGCTGGTTCCCCCTTTCTGAAGCTCTTTGCACCCAGCATTATTGCATGTAAAACTAATTTTGCTATGCACAGGTGCTTTGCAGCACTGCTCCCCATATGAGCACAGCTGTTCAGGTGCCAAGGGCTGTGCCCCAAGTCCCACTTCAGAAGTGCCCTCAGTTAGATCCTGTTTCCCAGCAAGGATGAAGCAACTCAGTGATGGCCATCCAGCTCAAAGGGCAGAAACCCACATCAGAGGAGTCCCTGATGCAACCTGCACCAGGAGCAAAGAGTGGTAGGAACAGGAAAAAAATGTCTATTTACACCTAAAAGCAGGCTGGACATAACACTGAAGTGTAGAACACACAGCTTCTGGAGGAGGGGAAGCCTCACCCACTGGTGCCAGGGCACTCACTGGTGCTCTGCAGAGGAAGGATTCCAGTCCCCAGGGCTCTTAATCAGGCATTTAATATAATTGATCTTATTACACTAAGCATATTACTGTTAAGCCTTCAGCTGTTAATGTTCAGTTGCTGTTGGAAGGGTCAGTCCCAGCCACAAATCAGCCTAAAAGCAACACATCTGAAGCAGCAAGATGATACTTCTGAGAGTAAAAATTACTTTGTCCAGGGAGTCTTTGAATCAGCACAGAAACAACTCCTAAAAGCACTGACCAGTCATTGTGAGAGACCTCTGGGACACATCCCCAAGGGCATCTGTCTGCAAAAGTGCCTTCCTCACGCTGCCAACTGCCCACCCTGAGCTCTCCTGCTCCTTAAGCCCCAGCTCTGAGCAACTTGGACAGGTCTGTTCTCCCATATCAGAGAGATCCCACACTGAACTTGCTAGCATCAGGTTACCAGGGCTTTCCAACCCCTATGCATTGCACAGGCTCTGCAATTCTCCATCCTTCAAAACACACACAAGCGTCATTGGCCTCCAGCCCAGCTCTTACATCCTTCAGGGAAGCCAGAGCCCACCTTCATCTTCCAAGGCAGAAAAAGGTTCCTGCAGGCACTGCTCAGACCCTAGCAGAAAGCTTAACAAAACAAGCTTCCCTCCAGCCCAAATCCCAAGACTGGTGCTGAACATTCCAGCAAAGATTGATACCCAAAACCAACATCTCCTCTTCGGGATGGCCAATCCAAACCTTCCAGCTTCTAAGTGCCCTCTATATCCAGCATGAGTAGCTAACAGCAACCACCTGAACGCCAGTCCTTAGAAGCTGTAGGTTGTTGGGGCTTTTTGACGTCTAAATGAAAGCTTTAACCACCCACCTGGTGAGGAGTTCATCACCCAAGGGGGTTTTTGTGGGTATTTGGGCAGCCATGGTGAACCAAGGGGTTGGGGTAAGTGAGATGCTCTGGGCTTCAGTCTCTCTGCCCAGCATCAGGTGGAACCAGGCAGAAACCATGCTGGGTTGCATTCACACCATCTACTTTTCTTTGTGTCACAGGGTTTTTTCAAGAGGTTTTAATATTGGTCAGCTCCTTACATACTATTTGTTTGAAAGGGACCTTATCTTGAATACCTTTTTTTGACATTATCAACTGTGATTCCACAAATTATAGAGGCTCAAATTATCTAATGTAAAAATCACCAATTATCGCAAAAACTATGTATTTGAGAGTGTCTTCCAATTTCTTCATTTTCCTCAGCCTTTCTAGGGCAAAATTATAACCTTGAAGTTGAGAGATGGAATAGAATTTAAGAAAAAAAGAGTCAAACATTAGCTTTCAAATACCAGGAATGAGGACCCAGGGTTCTAAAAGGATCCTTGAATATTTGGAACCAGAACAGTATTACAAGAGCCATCTGTGCTAAAATTATTCATCTCATTGTTTTTACACATGAGGTGGAAATCTATATTTGCAAAGTATTGCATGGGATTTAAGCACCCAAGAGAAACTGAAAAATTCAGCCCTGAAGATTTAAATGGTCTATCAAAAATAAATAACTGAAAACTGCATGTTTGCTGATTCATTCAGTTTGTGATCAGCTCTGACACTGTCACTTACTTGATTTCCTTCTCTGTCATACCTCTCTGTTTCACAACGGACAGAGAAGACTGCATGGAAGAGTCCTTGGAATCTGTAATCAGTTATCAGCACACTCAGATCTGTGACTGAATGTTGAAGAAAATTCAAAGACTTCAAGCAAGAGTTCAGTGTAAGACACAGCTGGATTGAGCTGCTGATAGGCAGGAAAAAAGCAGGTAAATCAAGATCTGTGCCACAAGGGGAAAAAAAACCAGATTGGATTCCACAACACTGCCCACAGGATGCCTCTGTCAGAGGAACACACCTCGTTGCTACCACTTATCCCAAACCCTGCTGGTGGAAACCAGGGGCAAGGAAAGGCAAACCCCATAGCAAATGATTCCCAAAAAAGTCCTCCCAATGTTCTCATGCCTTTCTCCCACCAACGGGAAGAAGGTGCTCATGGACTGAGGCAGGCAAGGGAGGTTGTGGCCCCTGAGCCTGCTGCCCTGCCCCAGGAGCTCCCTCCAGCCCTGTTGCAATCTTCGCTGCAGTGTTGTTCTTGCCTCTCTGCTGGGGCTCTTCTCCATTCTCTGCAGCACAGTCCTTCCTGTCTTCTCAGGGGCTCCTCTTGGGCTCTTCTCCATTCTCTGCAGCACAGTCCTTCCTGTCTTCTCAGGGGCTCCTCCTGGGCTCTTGACCCACCCCTATTTATCTCAGTTACCTTCACGAGCTACAGCTGCTGCCCAACTAAGGTCCCTGCAGCTGCAGCTCGCTTGGAGCAACTCGGACCCACACAGGTCTTACAATACAACATATATTCAGGCCCCCACACAGCCCCACTGAGGATGGGGTTGTGCATGGACTGCCCTCCATGGGAGCTCTCGTGGCCAGCCTTTCCCAGGCCATCTGGGCCAGCAACCTCAACAAAAGCAGTTTAAGGCCATGGAGTATGAGTCATGCATCCTGTGACAGCCTTTGCACACAGGGACTAAACACTAGGGTACATCATCTCCCAGTGTTTCTGTGTACCAGCAGCCTCCAGACCAGTGCCTCTCAGTTCAGCACAGTGCACACTGTGCCCCACAGCTTGCACTGGCCCTTTAATGGAGGTTCCTGTCCCTTGAAGCAGAGCCCAGCCATGCAGTAATCTCACTGCTGGCTTGTTTCCTACAGCCTCAGTCCTGCTGGGGAAAACCAGTGCTGAAATGGGAAGCCTGATGTTGGATAGCCCAGGGGTTTTGCAGCCTGGGTTTGAGGCACAGCCTCTGCTTTCTGGGATGCTCTCTGAAACATTATCCACAGCTTGTTAATATGACCTGCTCTAAGCAGCCTGCAGAGCACAAAGATATTCTATTGGAAAGTCCTTGGCTACTCAAAATAAACAAGGAAATAAAATGGGATTAAATATAACAGCTCAAATAAAGGCAGCATTCTGCTGCATTATCCCATTTGGAAAGGCTAAACTAAATCCAGTAGTGAGAAAAATCTTGATTTCACTCCTGATTTAGCATTTTCAAGGCTAACATGGGATTACACTACACAAACAGGCTGCTACCAAATTAGTTGACTTCAGGCCCTCCCCAGCTCAATAAGCAGTTGGATCACTATGGCCACATTTTACTCTGCACTTTTTGCTCTGCACTGCAGTAGGTTTTTGAGTGACTCCCTGTGAGCAGCAAGAAAGCAAAATATCACCCTCCTATTTCTGCATTTTTAGGGCCCAAACTGCTGTTCTTTCCCCTTCTGTGCCCAGGCATGGAGATCTAGACAAGGACAGTTCACCACCATTGGTAAAGACCATCTCCAGACAGGGAAAACATGACCTTCACTTTCCAGTTTCCTTCTCTGCTTTCCTTTTTTCTTTTTTTTTTTCTCCTCATCATTTCTTTCTCCAGAAAGTCCCCCCAGCAACAAGACCAAATTAATACTTGTGAGGAGTGTCTCACCAGACTGCAAATGCCTCTGCTCTTTATCCTAAAATAATTCTCATGTGAGTGACTAGAATTGCAAATTGTTTTACCTTAGCCAAATGTGGGACTTTAAATTCTTAGGACTTTTGAAAGAGGCCAGAGGGTGCCCAGAAATGCCATTTCCACCTGGAGTGAAGCATGACCTCTGCAGGGCATAGCTGTGTCCTCTGTCACTCCTGAGGTGGCTCTCCTGCCGGGGGCAGGGGGCACAGAGTCAAAGCTCTGGATGAGTCCTTTTCAATGCAGGTGGCTTTCTTTGATCCCAGGAATAGCTGCATTTGTATCAGATAATGGCTCAGGGTGATATCTGAAGCTGGCAGGTCCATGAGGCAGCAGCTCACCCTGGGTGATTTTCATGTTGCCAGAGGATGGAGAGGCAGTGCTGGGCACAGGGACATTGTCCCACCAGCTGTAGATGATTCAGGTTGGCTCTTGTCTAGCAGAATGAATTTGTCATCACCTGGAAATATCTTCTTGATAGACATTTCACTGTACTTGGTCTTAAACACACCTGTGCACACATGTTCCCATCAGTGGGGTCACTGATGTCCCTCCTGGGCTGCCACGAGGTTGAACACTTCAATTTAGTCACTCAACAGTGAAAAAAAGATGCTACAAAGTGACCTTTTGGGAAGG